CTCTTTTATGACTCGTGGACTTCAACTCTCAGAATTCCTGAGCCAGCACAGCTGGCTCAGGAATTCTGGGAGTTGAAGTTCACGAGTCATAAAAGAGCCAAGGTTGCCTACCCCTGGTCTAGACCAATTCTCTCTCTAGAGCAAGAATCCCCATATCAGAAGAATGGTTGTCCAACTTGGAACCCTTCATTAATGGCCTTCAAACTCCATTCCTCGCAAAAACAAAACAAAACAGTGATTTAGACCTTCCTCCATTGGCTTGTTTTCATGTCCAGACAGTACTTCTCTCTACTCCACCCAGCTTGTCTTTGGCACTGTTATGTTTGTGCATCTCTGCAACATCTCAGGCTATTAAAAAACAGATCTTCCTTGTTGTTCCAGCTTGCAGTCCCTAGAAAGCTTGACGGTAGGTGGTTTCCTGCCAGCTTTCCTTTCGGCTTTCTTCCTGCTTCCTCTCCTTACTTTCTCAGGACCCTGCTAGGACTATTTTGTTTTGATGAGCATGGAAACCCCAATTTTGCTCCGCCGAGCAGATTTCACTCCGCCGTATGTCACAACGCCGGCTATATAAATAAGCAGGTTCATCATCACGAATCAGGCCTTGGCTGGCTTTTCCTGAACGATGCCAGGTAGAGAACAAAAACCCCACATAGCCAAATAAAATAAAATAAAATAGGCGTTTATTTTTCCCAGGTTTCAGAGTGGGTGTGGGGAATGTAATGGAAATCATGGTGGAAAACATGATGCTGAAATGGGCTACCATCCAGAAAAATGCAGGTGTGTGGTGGAAAGCAAAGTTTGTGTGTAAGAAGTTCCAGGGATCTGGTTTGCCATCTCAATTATTCTAAGCTTGGGGTGACGGCTTCAGCCTATGCATGTCAATCTACTCAGATATGTTAAGAAAAAGTAGGGTGGAAGGATGGATGGATGGATGAATTATTAGGTGCCATCAAGTTGACTCCCAGCGATCACATAAACCACTTGGTTTAGGGTTAGGATATTTATTATCAAATTCAGAGGCCTCTTCAGAAATCTATGAAGCCTCTTAAGTATACCTGGCCTACATTTACATACTGTAAGGATGACTAGCAAGGGATGATGCTATAAGCCAGAGCAGCAAAAGTGATTAGCAACCATCAACAATCAGCAAGGCTGGACAATGGACCCAGAGCTTAGCTTCTGAAGTTTCAGGAGCATCTTCAAAGGATCCTGTTGATACGAGTTTTAGATTTTACGAAAGAGCAAGAATTCGTGAGATGCTTGACAGCCAAAAAGGTTGATGCGGTTTTTGCTTTATGGGGGAAAGGAATCGTGGGCTCTATCAAAATCAGTCTTGGAGGCTTGTCCAAGGTAGAATAATCTCACCCACCCTTGCAGTCTAACCAAAGCTAGCCTGGTTAAGTTTTGCAGATCAAGTGCCACTCAGTAACTGACTCCAAAAATATGAATTAAACCATGACTAATTGCCCAACTTTTTCCAAGATAACCCTAAGGAAGTTGCCACCCCCGGACTGATCCTTCTGACCTTGTGGGACACACAGTGCTGCTGTGAAATAGCTTCATTGTTTTTCATCTGAGACTTGGAACCAACCTACATGCTTAGCCGTGGACCTGTGTTTCAAGAGCTGTGTTAGCATGTGGTTTGTATGAAGAGCACTGCATTCTTCATATCTCACTCTTTCACTGCATTCTTCATATCTCACTCTTGTTCCACAGCTTTGAAGTAAAGATTCTTAATCTCAGGCCTTTGATTCGTTGCTGAGTGTGTAGAATTCACCTGAGTCTGCTTATTTCTGGATTGCACACTTTTGTACATTAAAAAAAACAACATCCTTCTCTTGTACAATCAAGATTGCTTCCTCCGCAATTTCAGCTTCAGCTTCTTTAAATCCTTGGCTTCACCCTTCTCCGCTGGTGACCTTGGATAAGGCACAGATAGCAATTTGAGAGCATTTTTATGATCTGGAAAATGTCACCATTTAGTGCTGTTTCCACTGTCAACAAAACTCTCCAACTTCCATTGTTTGCGTGTGCTATTTCAGAGTGATGACAATCCTTGTCACATTTCCAAACATGCATTTTTAGGCTCCTATTATGGCCAACTCAGCCTGAAAATTCTTAAGATCATGAAGGATTGGGGAGATGGCACTGAACATCCTAACATTTGATTTTCCCACCGGCCGAGCAGTGACCTGTGTTCGTATGTCAGGTTCATCCCATAAAGATTGCAATATAGAAGATAGAAAGTAACCTATATTTTATATTTGGTGGCTATACCAAATATTCTCATATGGGAACTGTAAGGTATTCAGAACCCCTAGGTTGATGTGATTGTGTTTTGGACTTTATTTATTTATTTATTTGTATCCTGCTTTTATTATTTTTACAAATAACTGAAGATGGAGAACATATCCAATACACCTTCTTACTCCTCCCCCATAACAACAGTCCTGTGAGGTGAGTTGGGTTGAGAAAAAGTGACTGACTCAAAGCCACCCAGCTGGCTTTTATGCCTAAGGTGGGACTAGAGTCAAGCTTGCAGATTTGCACTGAAGCAGCACAAAGTCAACTTCCTTCATGTGCTTGCGAAAGGATGCTGGTTCCCTTGCAGGATTTTACCATTTGCTTTAGTGATGAGTTTGACTTGGCATCGGAGAAACTTCCTTCCTTCCTTCCTTCTTTCCTTCCTTCCTTCCTTCCTTCCTTCCTTCCTTCCCTCTGCCGACTGCCAGCAGTTTGATCCTGACTGGCTCAAGGTTGACTCAGCCTTCCATCTTCTTAGGTCAGCAAAATGAAGACCCAGATTGTTGGGGACAAATTGCTGACAGTGTAAACAGCCTAGAGAGGGCTGTGAAGCACTATGAAGCGGTATATAAGTCTAAGTGCTGTTGCGATTTAAGAGAAGTGCATTTGTAAAAAATAAATCCAATAAAACTTTTCGCTTCGAAGGGGAGAGACTAGTGAAAGGAAGTTGTTTTCTATTAAGTCAGAGAGTGGATCAAAGTGCTTTGCAAAATTCCTACAGTGCACGGATTTGTGATTTATCCTGGCATTGGAAAGAAAAACATTACTAATAAGCAAAATGTGTGTCCTCTCCTGTTTGCCTGCCAGACTATATCGGACCTGTCCCTCACCAACTTCCTGCTTCCCGTGGCCTGTGTGCGCTGAATAATATTTGCATTTTCCCTCCGACAACGTCCTTTTCGGGAGGAAATTCCTGTTCAACTTTTTCTTCCAATCTACTTTAAACAATCATTTCCTGAGGTCTACCCCTGCTTTTTTCATTTTTTTTAAACAGTTATCATTAAACAGCCGTAAGGCCTGCTTGTTGCCAGCAATCCAGCATTCTCAAATCCTCAGCCATAAAACTAAGAATTAAAGCAATTGACAAAATATTACTACTTTATTGGAAGGAAATATTTTTAGCAGTGTTTAATACTGACGTGCTATTAAACACAATTCATTTTGCATGGTGCCCAAAATGAAAGTAAACTAAATACCTGCCTGTAAATGTTTTCCACACACTTGTTTTCCACACTTTTCTTGGCCGGTTGTTTGTTGAGGCATTAATTTGTGCAAATGGAAACGGTCATAAGGGAAGTATGTGTAGTGGGATGTGAAGTCCAAGGATTAGAACTGGGAGGAGAAAAGGAATCAAAATATTTACTGTATTTTTGTTGTTTTTGTTCTTCGGGCCTGAATCGAATCCTGAACAAAAATAGCCACTCAACAGGATTATTTTGCCAATAGAAGAGAATATTTGTAGCGTAAAGTTGAACTATAGGGATTCTTGGTGCTCTCCAAGCTTGCTTGTTTTCTTGCAGACATTTCATTACCCAACTAAGTAATAGCATCAGCGCTAGAAGGGACTGAGGTGGGGTGTTGGGTGCTCTCCGAGCTTGATGGTTTTCTTGCTGACATTTCATTACCAAATTAGGTAACATCATTTTTTTTCAGTGCTGTATAACTTCAGTCGCTCAGTTGATAGTTATACATCAAGGACTATCTTTATGCCTGTGTGTTGAGCCTTCATGTTATCTATTTCTATCCTAAACGTTATTTTAATAGTGTTAAGTGAAACATCTTGGTGGGAAACAAACCATTATTCCTGTAGATATTGCATTCACAGGGATCCTTGTTTGTCTGAAGCACACCCCCTGCTGGCTGTATTTGAGAAATACCTGTGACAACAATTTGTCTAGGTCAGATAGTCCTGTGAAGTTAGGTGTTCTTCAACCTGCCTTCTTCAGTTCCCATCAGGAATACACACACTTATTAGAAGAACTGGGCACGGGATAGCGTTCTTCCAACATTTGAGGGGCTGTCGCAGAGAAGACGCGGTCAACCCATTCTCCAAAGCACCTGAGGGCAGGACAGGAAGCAACGGATGGGAATTAATCAAGGAGAGAAGCAACCTACAACTAAGGAGAAATTTCCCGTCAGTGTGAACAATTAATCAGCGGAACGGCCAGCTCCAGAAGTTTTGAGTGCTCCATCACTGGAGATTCTTAAGAAGAGACTGGACAGCTATTTGACTGGAGTGGTCTAGGGCAGGGGTAGGCAACCTTGCCTTTTACGACTCATGGACTACAACTCCCAGAATTCCTGAGCCAGCCATGCTGAGGGGAAAGGGAGAGGTTTCCATGCTGAGCCATGATGGCTCAGGAATTCTGGGAGCTGAAGTCCATGAGTCATAAAAGAGCCAAGATAGCCTACCCCTGGTCTAGGGTCTCCTGCTTGAGCAGTGGGTTCGACTAGAATACCTTCAAAGTCCTTTCCAATGCTTATTCTGTAGTTTGGTTGTTGGCATAGTGGTGTTTTGCCAAAAGGATCTCATTCCAGGAAAAAATAGTTTAAGATCAGGTCTTCAAAAATATATAGTTCTATTTAAACAGCCTGAATTGTGAATTAAATATACACATGAAAACAGAACAGGGAGGAGACCATCTTTCTCCAACTGAAGAAATAGTTAAGACAATCATATCGCATAACATCTCTACTTTAAATTATTAACCCAATTAGTGCTTTATTCACATTTTAAAAACTTGTACAATTTATTACAAATATAAAACAGTGCAGTTTTCCATACATTATCCCAATTCTGAGACAAACACTTAAAAGACATGGAAAAAGCTTTAATTCTTATAAACATAACATTTTTTATACCATTCACACTTTTATTTTCTTCCTCTACCTTTGATTCAAAAAGATCAAACTTACAACATACTGTAGGTTTATTTTTATTCAAAAAGTTACTTGTCTCAAGACATAAATACAAATCAGAAAACAGTACAATTAGGACGATAGAATGTGGAGGACAACAGGTTAAAGGTAAATATATAAAACATTTTTAGTCTGAAAACATAAAGCTGTAAGAACTGCTTTCACAAAGAAACACTCCTTCAAGAGTAAGAAAAAAAAATCAACAAAATCATATATACAGTCCTCTCAGCAGTTCTATTTAAACGCAGTGGTGTAAAGGAAGAGGGGAGGGGAAAAAAGAAAAGAAATATAGGCAGTATTTTAGACATGTGAATATTTATGCAGAATGGAGTTATGCAAAACTGGCTCTGTGTATTACGTCATGATTTTCAAAATAATTATGCTATCGGGATCCTTTAGAGAATCTATGGTTTATGGCTACCACAGCCCAAGCTTTGATTAATTTTTTTTTCCTTTTGTCTAAGAGGTTCTTCTATTTGCTTAGTTGAGGAAATTATCATATTGCAAGCATATTAAGGCGCATGGAATGATTAGAAATAATATACCTCAAGAACTGAGAGACAACTGACAAAAATATACATTTGTGTTATAAGTTAATATTTCCTTTAAATGTTGTCTAGCTGCCTAAGCATGGCAAAATGAGTAACGTTGAAATGACATAAATCCATGGGTTTTAATTTTTTTTTTAATTTAATTGTGAAAAAGAAGCAATGAAATTCATTTAAAGCTTAGCTTTCAAAGAATATTATGGGGTACTGATGAAGTTCTATTACCCAATTCAATTTACATACAGAAGAAATGTCCTGTAACCTGTTAGAAGTATCATTAACCTGAAGACTGCTTGCAAAGACAGAGATAGATAAAACAATATAAAATACAAATTTAAAAATCATTTTAAAGCATGAAATTCTCATGCTTAAATCTATTTTTTAAACATTGTTAAATTTTCAATATATTTCTGAAACCTCATAATTTTTTAAGTTGGAATTTAAAAGTAAGAAAAAACTAAAACTGCGCAATTATAAAATCAGCACCAATTTTTTTATATATATATATATATTTATACTTTTTATTTAAAATTTAGACCCCTATTCCCACACTCTAATAAGCTGTATATTTTTGTTTAGAATTTTTTTTCTGCAAACATACTACAATAAGCTTATTTGGAGACAAAATACAGTGGCACTACTGGAAGGAATCTCACAATATTACATTTGCTTTTCTTAAAGGACAAGCAAACTCTTAGGGTTAGAGATAGGTAAGCTGAAATATCAGTGCTCTCTGGCAGTTTATGATTCTTAGATATTTCATGAATATGTAACAAGGAAGCCTTGGCATGTGTTGTTTCTTTCTTTTTTTTAATATTCTATAATAATTTCTGAATAAAAAAAATCACTCGTAATTTATTTCCATGATTATCACAACCAAAGTAAAGTTTCTGTGGACCAGAATTTAAACATCACATCAAAAATGTTTTCTTTCATCTAATTACACAGATTTCAAAACCTCAAAAATCAAATCGCCCCATTTTATTTTTACCTGATGCTTTCAAGGATAATCTAGGGAAAAAAAAAACATAATTGCTTGAATATGTTCAACAGATGACAGAAGTGCATACACTAAGCACCTCTTTGATGCTAGGATTATTTTTTAAGTGATATTTATACTATGAGTTGGAAATAAACTAAACGTTGCATAAATAAAATACTGGTTTCCCAACAATAGCTTATCCTCAAGTCGTTTACTTGTCCTTTATTCTTTTAGGCAAAGAAAACTGCCCCTCCAATGTACTGGATCATGTAAGCACACCATTCTCCTTAGAGAAAAAAATCTTGTTCAGAATATCACTGTATCTACACTTTTTTAATTTAAAAATCTCCTCTTCCACAGTAGAAAATGACTTTACCACGGAGTTATTTGCTGAACTAGTATTAAAACATTGATACCCCAAGAACCTAGAAGAAAGAGAAAAAGGTTAAACGGTAAGATTTGTGTCAAAGAGTGAATGCTTTTAGAATACGCACACAGTATTTATCGTTCAAATGACTGATTTCAGAGAGAAATCAGTGATAAAAGCTAGAAACCTTCAATATGTCCCTATCTGTTTCTATCCAGACTGTATTAATGCCACCATTCTAAGGACAGTCTTAAATCCAGGACATCAAACTTATTTTGGAAGAGCTTCAAAACATGGCTACTATTTAAGCTTTGTTTTGAAATTAAAAAACAAAGCCCAACGCTTATAACAACAGAAGAACTACAAGACTTTGCTCAATCAAGTTTAACATGTGCTGCCATCATGTGGTGGCATTTAAGGACACTGGAACTCAACGGAAGCTTTGAAAAGGCTGCAAGTAAAATTATATGCAAATTATCCCATTTGTGATGACCCCCCCCCTTTCCTGTTTGGTGATAAGCAACCAGCAACTGCCAGAATTTCAAGGACCGCAGTCAAAGTGGTTTTTCCCAACCTTTTCCACAGCACTGGTAGTCCTCCACTTATTTCTATTTGTTAGTGATTGTCCAAAGTTAGAACAGCACCAAAAAAAAAAAAAGTGACTTAATCCAGCCCAGGATTAAGAGATTTGCTTAACACCAATGGGGGGGGAAAATTAGGCATGACTCACTTATAACAGCAATGGAAATCCCAACATGAACAGAACAAACCTTGAGTTTTTTGAGGGGAAAATACATTAACAGTGGAGTCAAAGAAATAATAACATGCCCCCTTTACTGGAATGAATGTTCTGTAAATAAATTTTCAGTAAATGTTTTAATCCCGTGCCTATTCGAATTACAGTCATCAACAAGGTAATTTATGCTAAGGTAGTCATCAAACTTTGTGGCCATCCTGAATGTCGCTGGCCCTAGACTCTGGGAAAGACAGCAAAGGCATTCCTTTCCTGTCATTATCATTGATTTCTTCCCTAGTATCAGAAGAAATAGGAAGAGTATGCCCGTTTTATGCTGCAGAGATAATACAGAATTATTCTCAAGAATGCTGAACCATGCCAGCCACCTCCCATCCCGCTTAGAAAGGTCACCCCAGGAAAGAAACTGCAATTCACCCAAACCTGTCACATCTTACTTACAGATTCATCCATGATTGATGCTGGGTCAAAGAAATCTGGCTTTAACTCTGTTCTTTCTCTTCTGTTCTTTGACGGTGGCTAAAAGGCAAAGCAGGTTATCAGTGTATTGGGCTGATTTAATTGTATTTATTCATATAGAGTCACCGGAGCATGTATTTCCCTCCAACTCTGACATAAGAGAGGCCACGTTTGCATACCTCTCCCTAGGAAGAGAAGAGGCTCAGCATTTAAACTAAGACAAATCAACCTTTTAAGTGGAAAAGGCTGTTATAGAATAGAGCCAATCTTCTATAAAGGAAGGAGAATGGTTGGTTTGTTGTTTTGCAACAAGGTGTAAGTAGTTGGTTCTTACTAGGTCTATGTCCATGGTATCAAAGTCCATGCCTTCATTGAGATCCTCGATGCGCCCTTCTGATGACATCATCACATCTTCAACAATGGGCTCTTCATCGTCCTCCATGAGACTAGTGCCACGTCGACTAAAAGACATATAAACACGGTGGCGAATGTCACTCAGTCACGCACCATAGAGTGTTCTTTCAATAAAATTGAAATTAAAAAATTGCCAACCCTGCACGGAAAATTCTTATCATGAAAAGTGTTAACTTTTTGTTAGGAGGCTTAGCCCCACTTATCACATGAGGATTTAAAACACTCCTTTGCTTGGTAATTTCGAGCAGGCTGTTTTGGCCTCATCCAATGTTTCAAGCTCAAAGCCCTTCCGATAAAATCAGAATAAAGAGCCTTAAGACTCTCCTTGAACTCTTAAATGTTCTGGACACCTCTACAGCCAACCCCCGAGGAGTTTATTTTCCATGTCAGTCAAATAATCTTCAGTATCACTCAATATTTATTGGCGAGCGGGGGATTAAGTAAAAAAAAAAACATTTCTCTTTTTCTTGGTAACCCTACATAGATTGATGGTGTTTGTCTGAAACATTAATAATATAGTCCTGCTTTCTATCCAGGAAAATATCTTTGATTTTTTTAGGACGGGGATAGCGGAAAGTTTAATGCTCTCAAGAAGACTGCATAAAATAGTTGCAACACAATTTCTAAGGACCGGTGCCAAAGGCACAAAGCCAGTACCCAGCTTGGGACGACAGTTGTTGTGTACTCACATGGCGTGCTGCAAGTTGGTTCTCAGCTTCACGTAGTTCATAGCTGCCCTCTCCTGCTGCTGCCTGGCTGCTTCCTCCTGCTGTCGTTGAGCCAGCATCCATGTTACCTGCGTGCTTGAAGGAATAACACGTTTCTTTACAAAAAAGGGACAAGGTGTAACATTTGAGCAGGGGCGAGGCATAGGTAAAAGCAAGCATGTACTTGTAGTCGATGGGCGGCTGATGGTGCTCGGCTTGCATGGGGTAGACGCCCATGTAGTTCTCTTCTGGCCGCAATCGTTTGGGCTCCCTCATGATGGTGGAAGTGAGCTGCGGCGCCTGCAGCATGATGGGTGTGTGCATGCTCTGCTCCCTGTTCATCCACATGCTGTCGCTGCTGCTGCTTTCCTCAGCTGGAAACACAAAGCGGCAGCTTTGCATCAAGGCAGAATTCGGGGGCTGCTCGCAGTATATCAGTCCTCTGTGGGCTTCTTGGGGCCTCTCTGAGCTCTTGCCTATGTTTCACCGCCAAGCTAGGTAACATCATCTGCGCTAGCCTAGCCTTCAATAAGCTGTGGGTGTCAGTGCTTACAAAGCATGGTCTACAACAGGGGTCTTCAAACTTGGCCCTTTTATGAATTGTGGACTTCCACTCCCAGAATTCCTCAGCCAGACATGCTGGCTGAGGAATTCTGGGAGTGGAAGTCCACAAGTCATAAAAGGGCCAAGTTTGAAGACGCCTGGCCTACAACATCTGTCTGATTATCATTGGGACGTAATCTTGGTTGGTGTTAATCTAGGCTTTCCTCGTGCGCCGGCAAGCCAGAAAGCACCCTTCTGATGGGAGGTTCTTGATTTATGGAACAATGTAGGGGATATAAATACAGGTAGTCTTCTACTTACGACCACAAAGCAAAGTGGCTAAGTGAGCTGTGCCTCATTTCACAAACTTTTTTTTTGCCATGGCTGTTAAACAAACCTGGCTTCCCCCACTGACTTTGCTTGTTGGAAGGCAGCCGAGGAGCTTACCAATGGCGGTCACAGGCCCCCGGAACAGTGCAACTGCCATAAGTACATGCCAGTTGCCCAGTGTCTGAATTTTGATCACGTGACCTTGAAGATGCTTCAACAGGTTGCAAGTGTGAAAAACAGTCCCAAGTCCCTTTTTTTTTCAGTGCTGCTGTAACTTTTGAATGGTCACTAAACGAATAGTTGTTAAGTGGAGGACTGCCTGTATAAACTCTATACACTAAGGAAACCCACAATAAGTAACACTGCAAACCTTCTGGGAGTTTCCGCTTCCCTGTGGCTGGTTTTGTCTTCTTGCTCCTTACTGTAGACCCTCGATTGCTAATCCCACTGATGACCGACATTGTGTCGTCATCCCCCCCAGCTAGCAAAGAATTCCTGTAAGACATGAGTGGAAGCCACACATCTTCTCTTCGAAGAGACATCTGAAAGGTCATGAACTTCTCCAGGTAAGCATACCTTCAAAAGAAAGAAGGGGCAAGGAATTACTAGAAATACCTCCCAGGTCCTCTCTTGAGTTCACGAATGAACCGTGCCAGATATGACATAGTTACTGCTGCTGTTCAAAAGTCTAATAGAGGAACTACAAAGTTTCACTTATTCTATGAGTAATGATTTTGTTTATAAACGTATGATGTTAAAGTCTGAAGAGAGTTAAGGGTTTTTATGATTTTATTCATTGTATAATTAGTAAACTTAAATAGATTATGTTTAATATGTTTGCATAATCCTGTATTTTGCTCTGGGAAGTCGGGGGGTGGTGGTGGTGGTGGATGGGTTGAAGTTTAAGTAGTTCAGATAAAGTAGAAATAGTCTTATTGTATATAACAGGGGCAGGCAACCTTGGCTCTTTGATGACTGGTGGACTTCAACTCCCAGAATTCCTGAGCCAGCCATGCTGAGGGGAAAGGGAGAGGTTTCCAAGCTGAGCCATGCTGGCTCAGGAATTCTGGGAGTTGAAGTCCACGAGTCATGAGGGGGCCATAGTTCCCCCATGCTGGCTCAAGAATTCTGGGAGTTGAAGTCCACGAGTCATAAAAGAGCCAAGGTTGCCTACCCCTGGTATATAATATTAATGTTTTAATTTTAAGAGAGGAACTGCTCAGGCATTTCCCCTGGACCGCATCAAGAGGGAGGAGAAGAAGGTGAGAAGTAAGTAAGAAGGTTGAGGTGAAGGAGGAGAGGGGGTGAATGAAGAAAAAGAGGGAAAGAAGTAAGTTGGTTTGAGGTGGGATGCAGTTTGGGGGGAAATGGGCGGGCAAGACCAAATGTGGTGTGTATCAATTTGTTTTATTTTTTATCTGAAGTATTTGTAAGATTGTTATGTATTGTAAAGTTGAAAATAAAAATTTTTACAAAAAAAAGTCTAATAGAGGAGAGATAGGGGTGATCCGTGTGATCACCAATTTTCTGATAATATATTTTTGTCACCATCATCATAAACGACAAGTATCAATTAATCTGCAGCTCAACTCTTTTTTTTTTTTAATTTCCCCCCTACTAAGAAAATTACACAAAGCTGGAGAGCAGTTATTTTAACCTGGAAGTTAGAGAAAGATAGTTTACAACTGGAATGAACCAGAGGAAATATTTCTTCTTCCTCCCCTTTCTTGCTAGAATTTTTTGTCCTTCTGTATCCTGAAAAATCAATGAGCAGTTGCCCACCCTGTTTTAAGACCGGTTTCACTGAAAATAAAAATCCCTTAACGAAGCTTCTAAAACACTGTGAAAATACTTACACTGTTTTTTTGTCTTGCCTGAGAAGTTTGGAAGAGAATTCACTCAATATATCAAGAAATGCCAAATTTAAAGGTGGATGGCTTTCTCCTTGTGGGTTAGGCTCTTTAAAAGCAAACTCTATGCCGTCTCTGGAAAACAAAATCAAGAATATTTTTATCGAGTTTTCCTGACACAAAAGAGCTCAACATCAATCCCCGAACAAGTATTTCAAAAGAACAAACGGTATTACATTCCAATCAGTGCTGCTACATTTAAGACATGTGGAGTAAATCATATCCCTTTCTAAGTGAGAAATTTATTTGGGGTCAGAACCAGACTTAGTCATAGCTAGAGGAGATCCAGGACTTGGAACGTGTAATGAATTTAAAAACCAGAGATGTTCATGAGTAAAAAAAAAAAAATGTTTTGCTCAAACCCCAAATGCATCACATTCTGGAAATCGTGCCAAACCACACCAGCTGAGTTGTGGTTCAGTGGAAACAAAACTCAGCAGGAACCCAGAGTAAATTTGTCACCTCCTCAGCACCTCCCACCAGCTCCCCTGGGGGCCATCTGCCCCTGCTCAGAAATCACTGCTGTTTCCTTAGCTTTTTCCATTCTTAGTCACTTGATCTAGCCAGAACAATTGTGTTTCCATCCACAGCCGAGTTTTGGGTTAGACACAATCTACTCGAAACCAGCAGTTTCCTACACAAAACACTTTGCATGTAAATCCAATATATTCCGACAGATGCACTGGATTCTAATCTGTTTTTCCTCTAATTTATGATTCTAGCTCGTGCAGATTAACAGGAGCATGTTGATGTAACTGAGAATGCTGGTTGAGCTGGCCTGCAAAACGTGTCTGGAACTATCCTCAACATTAGCAGGAATAGTGCGCATGGCCAGTAATCTAGAACAGACTTTATCTTATTAAAAAACATTATATAAAGGTTTAAAGTGGGTTAACAGACTAGCAAAGAAACCTAGTCAAATCCATTAGGACAAAGTCATACCAAGAACCAAGAACCAACACCTGTGGCCTTATTTGATGGCGACCACTGATTATTTATTCCAATGTTTTTTCCTCTTCCCATTCTGAGTACGGTATAGGAAAGATCAGGTATGGTGAATAGCATTAAGTATAAACTATATTTAACTCTTATTTATTTCATATCTTATCAATTTTGCTGGGGGGATTTTTTGGGAGGGGGGGGGCTCTTTTCATCTGATGGAAATAAGGAAAAGGATTATGGAGGGAAATTCAATTATTTGCAAAGTAAAGAAAAAGTTAATCATTACTTGTGTAACATAGCAATGGCTTCTCTTGTTTTCAGCTGATCGAGCCCAAATGTTAAAGCAAAGCGCCGAGCCAGTTCCTTAATCCCACTGAAAGATGGCGATGATCTATCAAAATTATATCCATTTTCTTGGATCATCTCATTGAAAAGCTGCGTAAAGAAAACATTTTTTTCCGGATCATAATATAACTTGTGTGTTATTGAACAGCTCTGTTTCAGGAATATTTTAATGCATTTTCTCTCTTTCTCTCTAACATTATTAACTCTTACAAAAAAGCAGACTTCAAACAACATTTTATCTAAACCTTTCAGTATTATAGTTGGCTTACATTTCAGCATACAAATATGCAGGAATGAAAATAGGGTTAAAGACTACTATATAAAAACACAACTATAAAGTTTACTGAATCCCCTAAAAGCTGACCTCTTGCACTTTAACAGCAGGAAATAAATCAATGAAATGTCTGAATGTAGTTTTTCTGGTTCATCTGAATACTAAGGTTCTCTGTCTTTAACCAATAACCAGTATGATTATGTGGGACAGCAAAAACATACCTGCTGTAAACTGAGAATCAACGTCTTTGCACACTGAATTTTGTCTATTTGCCTCGTTTTACTCATTGTTTCTTTGATGATATCTCCGTAGTCGTTGTAATACTAGCAGGATAAAAACACAGATAGTTTAACTTCAATTAGAATAAAAATATTTATTTGTGAGTACCATGAGAAAATGTTGGGAGGCAAAGTGCGGAACTAAAAGTAGTTCACCTCAAACTGAAGTAACAATAACTTGCTTTAAATATGTTCGTTTAATTTCTGCTTCTAGCCAAGGCAACGAGAGTTAACCAGAAGGACTCCCTTCATAATGAAGAAAGAAGCCTCCAGAGATTTAATACAACTACATTCATTCTGTATTTTTATATGAGAACCTCAGATTCCCTTCCCTGTAGGCTTTCATTACCTTCATATATTGCTTAAAAATATCTGCAGCAGTGTTCATTTCCACCACGGTATATACAATAAGTTTACAAAAAGCCGCAAGCAAATTTCTTCTTTTGTGCAAAGCTTCTATCTTACTAGCTTCATCATCCTGCTGTCCATCTTTAAAAAAAAGAAAAAGAAAAAAAGAATGTATATGAGCATTCATTCAGGGACAGGTGTTTAGATATGATTTTGGTATCAACTGCATCTTTATAACCTGTTTTTGCCCTGCAATATTCAAACAGGGTAACAGTTCATAGCAAGAGAATGAATCCAATGCTTTCTTAGCTACCAAAAGATTTAAAATAGTACAGTCCCCATTAGTATTACTTTCAACTGACCTATTTAGAAAAGCCTTTATGTCTCTGAATTCCAAAATCAACAAATTAACAAAACCTTTAAAAAGATATAAGCTAAACTCTTAAGAGTAGCTGGTGGTAACTTTTAAAGCTGGTTTCAGGCCTCCAGTCATTTTTTTTTTCCAAGCACCCGAGCAATAGAATTTTAGGGAGGTTCAGACAACAGCTCACCAAATGCACATCAGAAAAAGTCAGAGCGCACCAAGGACTCCCTCCATCAGAAAAACTTAACAATAGCTTCAAGAGCAACGTCACCCAAGATAAGATGAAAACAGAGCCCAAGGGCTCTCAGTTTTGCAGATGAGAAACACATAATTCCAGACTTTCTCATAGGAAAAAAAAAAAAAAAACCCTCAGCAGGACAAGTAAGGCTGAGCAAGTTGTATCTCTACATCTCAAAGCGAACAGGACTAAAGTCCTACTCTTTTCTAACTGAGCAACTTCCTTTGGAGACCAACTCAGTACTCCGTGGAGATCAAGCTCTAACCCTGCAATCTCCAGTTGCAACTTCCATGTATGACTAAGTATGTATGTGTGTGTGTGTGTGTATGTATGTATACACACACACACACACACACACACACACACACACACACACACATATACATATATAGTACAACTCAAGGAGAAAAAAACATTGTTAGAACTCTGTTGCTACCGAGAAGAAATCAGAGACACCTTTCCGCAGCCCCATACCTGTGCTGTTGCTATCGTCATCCTGGTCAATAAAGACATGATCAAGAATAAAACTCAGGAGTTCAGATTGTAAGGAAGAATCGGGAGTGTAAACTAATGGCTCTAACATGTCACGTCCTCCTGACATGATCTGATGGCTGAAGATCATTAACACATCGCATAAAATAGTGAAGGCCTGCAATGGAAGGAATGAGATGCATTGTTATAAGAGAGAGAGAGAGAGAGAGAGAGAGAGAGAGAGAGAGAGAGAGAGAGAGTGTAACTAACTTATCGCAAGTCAAGCCTCTAGAAAGCTATGTCCTTAGAACAGTGGATCCCTGGCGGAGGACACAATGTCATCACAAGGAGTCCGCAAAGGTTTGAAAAATGTTAAGATTTAAACCTTGCGATAAGTCTTGGAGGTTCGTGGCCACAAAAGGTATTTAAAGGGGGTCTGTGGTGAAGGAAAGGCTGAAAACCACTGCCTTAGAAAATGGTGTTAACATACCTGACTCCATTTTTTAAGTATTGTCTCAATGCAAAACTGTCCCATTGAACAGAAGTCAATTCAAAGTCATTACTTGGAACTAACACATTTACTATTAGTTTTGACAGCATTATGTTTTCTTGTATTTACTGTACACTTTTTACCTTAGCTGTACTGACTGTTAATAATGAAATTATGCTATCTTTTATACAAATATGTGACTTGGCACCTTCTTAGGTTTTGCCCTTTCACAAAGTATACAAACCTCTCCTTCTACTTCAACACAGTTGGCAGGACAAAAATTAAAATAAAACAAAGAGCTTCAGGTCTGTTTCATTAACCAGGGCGCGCAAATAACGCTACACTTTCTTACATACAACTGTTAGTGCCAGTGAAAAATTAATTTTGCGTGAAAAGCATCTAACTGCTTACACACAGAGAAATGATCCGATATTATAATCCGTGACTAACCTGTTCTTTAACAGCAGTATTTACATTGGTAAGGTAGTGCTGACAGATTTGACAAAAAACTCTCATCTGTTTCTTTAAGCGTAGAAGGTCCTCCTTAGAAATGAAAGAATATTAAACAGTGAGTAAGTTTATTTTGAATTGTGCTCGCATAATGAATAGAAATGAGTAATTTTTTTTTAAGAAATGGAGAACTTTTTCTATGGAGGTTGAACAATAGTGTAAAACTTCCCATAATAGCTTCAGATTGTTTGATCTTTCTCTGGTCCTATTTCTGCAAATCAGAAAAAGAGATTCTATCTCCTTTCCATCCCTCTTTTTTTTTTAATTAAAAGTTTTAAAAAATTTTTACAGTATATAACCCAGATCCCTCCCACCCCTCCCCCAGTTCCCAGAGCTGATTACAGGGTTACAAATAAGCAATCATAATCTAATTAACATTACCCAACTCTACTAACAATCAAATCCATAACATACTTTAACTCCTTTTCAAAGTAAATATTAACAAATTAAAAACCAAAAATAATAATATAATTAAACAATACTAAAAATAATATCTTTCCATCCCTCTCTTATTGCAAAGAGAAAGTTACTCTCAAGTTACTATTGCCAAAGTCATTTTTTTTACTCTGAATGTACTTCAAGTGGAGTTTTTTACCCCAATATAGCTGCATGTGCACACATACACAAACATATACAAACACAGGATTTGAGGATATTGTCAGCTTCCCAAGAAGGAACCCTAAACATTTGTACAATGGCCCATTATACCTGACTTTGTACAGATAGTCCTCAACTTACAGCTATTTGTTAAGTGACTGTTCAAAGTTAGAATGGTATATAAAAAAAGGAGACCTGTGAACATTTTTCACACTTACGAGGCATTGCAGCATCCCCATGGTCGTGTGATAAAAATGTGGATGCTTGGCAACTGGCATGTACTTGTGACAGTTGCCGTGTCCCGAGGTCATGTGATCACCTTTCGCGACACCTTTCGGCAAGCAAAATCAATGGGGGAAGAAGCCAGATTCATTTCACAACTGTGTTACTAACTTCACAACTGCAGTGCTTCGCTTGAAAACTGTGTTAAGATGCGTCATAAAATAATCACTGTCTCACTTAACAACAGAAATTTTGGGCTTAATTATGGTCTTAAGTCGAGGATGACCTGTACTCCATTCCCACAGACCCAAGTTGTCCCGGTGCTGCCAGCACCTACCTTTGTAGAACTGCTCTCAGCTACTTTTGCTAGCTGCCAGAGGATTACATAGTGAGTACACTGCAGTGCGTGAATAACTATCTGTGTTTCAAAAAAAAAGAAGAAAAAGTTTGAGAATAATAAGGTATTATCGCTCTCAGCTTGCTATTATGTTATATTGTCCTTTTAAAGCAATATATACATATACTAACCTGTTCAGGCATATCTCCATTCTCAATGCCTGTTTTTAGTAACTTGTAGTTACAACTAAACAAGTCCCACCTTGACAGGTCATGTGCACTGAAAATTAAAACAAAACAAAAAAACATGAATGTTTCTAATTCACTGTTTCTTCTCACACTGTACTGAACTGATAGCACAAGCAGTGGCTGTTGCCATCAAATAACTGAATGATCACCCCTTGTGACATGCTTTGTACTCTGCTACACGCTACTGTCAAAGAGTTCCAATCTGAGCACAAAACCCCAATCCGCGGAGATGCAAAGTTCTAGCCATTTATTGATTTGATTTTCACTCCAGCTTTATTACTGTTTCTAATTCAACGTACCTAGTACTTCTTTCTCCTATTTCCCCCAAAGCAACAACCCTATAAGGTGAGCTGGTCTAAAAGAGTGGGACTGGCCCAAAGTAGCCAGCCAGCTGTCATGCCTAAGGCAGAATTAGAACTAACTGTCTCCTGGTGGTCACCCAGCCGGCTTTCGTGCCTAGGTGGGACTAGAACTCCCAGTCTCCTGGTGATTGGACCAATGTCACCCAGGTGATTGTCACTGCTAAGGTGGGACTAGAATTCACTCTCTCCCAGTGATTGGCCAAAGTCACCCAGCTGGCTATCCTACCTAAGGTGGGACTAAAATTCACTGTCTCCTGGTGGTTGGCCCCAAATCACCCAGCCATCTTTCATGCCTAAGGCAGGACTAGAACTCATGGTCTCCTGTCCCTAGGTCAGCACTTTAACCATTAGAACATTCGCCTTTGCCCTCAACTTATTTTCTTTTAAAGAGTGCCACATAGATGCACGTATAAATATGCTTTTTATTCTGACTAAATAACCTAAGTATATAGAATGCATCCAAGTGTCCTGGTATCATTTTTTCTGCACTATCTAATATTATTGTCAGTACCCATTAAAGGTAGAATGAGGAGAGTGATCCTACCAAGACATGGCAGAAGCTGAAACCAAACTGAAAGTAACTGGATTTTTTTTTAATGTACGTACCATAAAACAACTCATAAAGTATCTATAAAGAAACAAAATCAAGACAAGCAAAAGGTGGACAAGCTATTGCTGCACTTACTTGTGAAAAGCAGAAATTCGTTTTAATGTTGATAAGACCTGATATGCATCATCTTCATCAGGTTCTTCACCCTAAGTTTAACAAGTTGTAGAGTTGCAATTAAACCAATGATTTCAAAAAGCCAAAGGATAAGCCTCTGCTCTATTTTAATATCAAGACATATTCAACCAAAATGTGAAGTATTATTTATTGGCGAAACCTACACCGCAATCCCTGCTGTTTATTTGGTCCTGGCTTTTTTAAATTTTGCAAAGGGCAGCGAGGAAAGCAAAAAGGGACAAAAGGGTAACTTGAAAAGTTAAGACCTATACAGTGAGAGAGAAAATACGTACCTCCTGCAGAAAATCTTCAAGAAGCCGGTTGAATTTATCGGCTAGTTCATCTATTAGCTGGCTTCTTGCAATATCTACTCTGTTAAAGATGGTGAACTCCTCATTACAGAGGGCATGGTAGGTTTTAGAACAAGCTTCCAAAACATCGGTGTCTGTGTGCTTTTCTACAATATCCCGGATCTGTCGTAATAAGGCATCCAAATGCTAGCCAACGGAAAGCAAAAACAAACAAGAATTAATCAATCATCTGTTTTCTGATGCATCTGTTCGAATTCCTGTTCCCTCATCTCCACCGCAGCCCCTTGTTCCAAAAGAACTGTGTTTTAATTGTTGTGATAGTACAAACAACCATTTATTTAGCTGCAGAGCCCAAGGACAGGCCAGCCTTTGACTAAAGGTTCTGCTCAGTTTTCATCCAGTTCTTTTTACATGGCTTACCTTTTCTAATCTCCCCGTTGTGTAGATTTCCAAATCAAAATATTGTGGCAACTGTAACAAGTTGGTGATTTTCTCTGCATCTACAGAATACTGTGGATATTGAAAACAATTCATTAAATCCCATACATTTCCCCATATCGGTGTTTGTTTTTCACAGTTCGAAAGATGAGTTTCATTAAGAAATCTAAAATATTCATTTTGGATCATTCAAGGTCTTAGATAATGTTGACCCAGAATTAGCAAACATTGTGCAGTAAACATCATCTTTAGTTTTAGATTTGGGGAAAAAAAATTAATCTGAATGCTACATTAAGGTTCAGAAAGCTTAGCAAAAAGACCAGTCCCCAGGAGGAACTAAAAAAATACACTTTGGAAAACATGGAGAACTGTCACCAATAATAATTTTATCAAAACAGAGAAATCAATTATTTACTTTGTAATATGACAACTTCTTGTGCAACTGTGACATAAGTATTGTAGATAACCAGGCTGAGCCCGACTTTGGGGTTGCATGTTCCCACAATAGACCTAAGCCCGCCCTCCATGAATTTCATTGACTCTAATCCAGCTACAATTTGCTTTCACTATTAGTAGATCAGAGTCTTGTGCATAGATACCATGAAATAAACTTGTCGTAGTTTTGAACTCTGTTCCAGCTCCTGGTTTCTTGCGCTTGGCAAACAGGCCATCAACACAGAAACAAAAATAAAAAAATCACACTCACTTTTGCTAAGAGCTGAGGAAGTGCAATAGCAAAAAGCTCTGTGATCTTAGTTCTGTCATCCAACTGGGTTTTCTTCTCCTTTGCTGTAAGGACCTAGGTCAAAGAACAATCAGCAGCAGGATCAAAGGACTGACATTACCAGGATCTGTTTGATGCAACCCCAAGATGCAATTCATTAACAGGCAACGTGTTGTACATGAGCTAAATCCAACTACATTTCAAGAAGGATCTGTATTCTCAGAATTAAGACATTATTCCCAACATCCTTCCAAACATGACATTCTATTATTCTAAAGAAACTGTTTCAGTCACCATTCAGAGAGAGTTGAGATTTTCACCAACATATGCTCAAGCGTGACTAAAGAAAGGGAATGCAGTAGATGGCTGAGCAGCTTTAGAATGACAGTACTGCAAATAAATTTTGTTGCACGGCTTTTTTTAACAGTCACCAGAATTATGCTGTACTGTAACATTTTTATCTAAAAATTAAAATTAAGTGCTATGACTGTATCAAGCAAACAAGCCTAGGATTTCAAGACCTTCAATGGTTCACTCTGACCCCCAAAATAGAAGATTACTGATGCTAAAAATAACATGTTTTCAATGTCTAGTGTAGGCATGCACCCTGATACCAAAGAGATGATGTTATACAGCTATTTTGAATTGCACACAGTGTTATTACAATGAAAATGAAATGTTAAAGGCTAGTGCATAATTTTCTTTTAAATTATAAGTTATTTTAACATTTCTTTCAACAACTGTGATTCCACTGCTGATGTAATACACCCTGACTCAAAACCGAAATACAGTGGAGAATTATTAATAAACATTTTTCTCTGAAAAAACTCATTAAAATTAGCTGGACAATATATTAACATTATTATTCATAGCATATTTTTTTAAAATATATATATATATATACCCGTTTTCCTGTGCCTCTTCCTACAGGGGGATGACATTCAGCTGCTTGTCTAATTGTACACAGCATTATTTCAATTAACGCACTTTCCTGTTTGTCTGTTAAAGCTGCAATTATTAAAAAGAAAATGTAATTTCTTTTAATCACGTGTTTAAGAATCAATCACTTGAACATGCCATAAGATTTAATCACAAGAATTGTTAATGAAATGTTTTGTTTTGTACCTCAAATTAAAACCTGCAAACTAGTATACCAAATTAGCTACTGTCAAGGCACCAGAACTAAAAAGAAAACAAATTGATCTAGAAGGAATACTTAAAATCTCATAAGGAAGCTTTTCCAAACCTCTTAATCAAAGTTGTCTTTGAATTTAAAGATTTAACAAAAAAAACCTGCTCTATGTTCATAGGTAATGAAACACACTAGCAATAATTAGAATTATTACTACTGTTTAATCATTTTAACTGCTCATTTTTCCAAATAAATTAATTTTAGAGATGTATCATAGGTCATTTCTGTAAAAAATCTGAAAAATTAAATTAACCTGATCACAATGTCTAAACTTATTTATTCAAAATTTTATTTCATTTTTAGTTTGCATGAGTTGCCAGTCTTTGTTGGTTGAATGTCTTTTTCTTTCTTGAAGTTAGGGACAACTGTCCTGGCAAATGCATTTTAAAACATGCTGTAAAAATAGAGTGAAGTCTTACGTTCTTCTCCATTTAGGGGTTCTTCCAACAGAAGGCTATTCATACATTCCCAGTCCTTCAAAAGGTCAGTTGCACAATCCCACATGCTGTCCACCAAGTAAGCAGCATGCTCGTGTAACTGGAAAAGAGCATTTTGTGAAAAACTTCCCCAAAGTCTTAAACCATCAAGCACTATTTAAAAAAAGCAAACACCTTCTGTAATTTAAGGGAGACAATTTTTTTTTTGTAGAAGAAAGGCACGAGCTCTGTGCTAAAAAAGTTGTGTTATTTGCCTCGGGTCCCATCATGTACTTCTCACTTTTTAATATTACTTTTAATCAACTAAAACTTGCTCGCTAAATTTACTGGATTTCAATTAGCTTTGCAATCCAAATTACCCTTTACTGGGTAGCTCAAACTGTAGCAACCTTCTTGGAAAAATTCCAAGACAGACAATTGCTATCTTTCCTCTCTGTCCCACATTCTTGCACCATTAAGATTTTCAATATTGAGCAGAGTTAGGGGGCCAATTTGGAGGTTCTTATAAACAAGCATACACAATATAAATAGAATCAGAAGTACAAAGATTGCCCTGTCTTGCAACAGCATTTAAAAGACTTCTAACTTTGGCACACTAATAAATTTACACAAAGTTCTCGTAACTATATTCAGCTACACAATAATTAAAGGAAGCTTTACTTAAAGATCTACAATATATTAGTACAATCGTCATATGGATTGAGCAGTTTACAAAATATTGCAAAGTCACAGGCGATTCTTCCTAAGAAATGGAACTTAATTTGGCTCAACAGAAAGCACAGACAAAACACTTCTGAAGAATACTTTGATAGAATAAGTAAGGTATGTGCACATACCTCACTTTCCAAAAAGAAAAATACTAATGTTTTGACAAGATTAGCATTTGGACCTTGCCTTCCTCTTCTCTTAAGAATTCCATCTTCCTCAGGGTCTCTGCGACTGAAAAGCCTTTCCAGGGGGAAAAAAAAGGAGGGGTGGGTGGGAGAGAAACATATTTGTACAGAGTTAGCTAAAAATAAAAGTGTTCTTGACACGTAACAGACTTAGTCCTAGTTGCTCCAGAGGAAATCCCAATTCCCCATGTGGGGAACCACTAGCTTTATCTAAATGGCCCAGCGATTCAGCTCTTGTCAAATTCACAACTGTAGTTCCTTTACTGGAAGGTCACTTTCTCCTTACTTTTTATAAAGGAATTCTCCTGCTGCGACAGCCACTGGACGATGAGCTGAGTAAACCAGATGGTAGACATTTTCACAGTCTTCTGCAGTCAGAACTTCTTCGCTACTCCTAAAAATGCAGTTAATTAATTATTAAAATGCGAACCAAAAAAGGCATAGGTGGTCCTTGCCGTTGTAACTTGATGGCCGTCCAAAGTTACAACGGCACTAAAAAAAAACTGGCTTATGACCGTTTCTCACACTTATGACCATCCCCAGGATCAGTGACTCATATTTATGACAGTTGCCGCGTCCTGGGGTCTTTTGATCGCCTTTTGTGACCTTCTGACAAGGGGGAAGCCAGGTTCATTTAACAACTGTGTTACTAACTTAACAACTGCAAAGAAAGGTCATAAAATGGGGCAAAATGTACTTAACAAATTTCTCACCTAGCAACATAAAGTTTGGGCTCAACTCTGCTCGTAAATTGAGGACTCTCTGCACTTAAATACTACTGGAATAAAATAGAGGTGGTTACTTTTAACTGTAGATTACCTGAATTCTAAATACTCAATTTAAAGCAAGGTTGTTTGTCTTGGAGTTATATTTAAGTCACTGAAGAGAAACTTGAAGATGGACCTCTGGGAATCTCACTAATGTCCGTGAACTTTTAGCAGCATGGACAACACAAAATTACGCATGCAATTTTTTCTCACTGAAGCATGACACCCTAAAAAGAATTTTCTGTCTACAAAGGGTTGAGAAACTGCATGTATACAAAGGGACAATACCACAGTATCTATTATTTGAAATAGGATTTGAAACACTTACTGTAAAACAAGAGTAAGTAGTTTTATTGCTTGTACCGCAACATCGTATTCTTTGTCAAGAGTCATAGATACAATTCTGTCCTAATAGGAAGAATATTCAGTTTGTAAAATTAAAACTGTTACAATGGAGAACATGGGATATTTCTTTAAAAGGAAAAGATAGAATGAACACTAACCTTGAACCGGCTGGTGAAGAGTTCCAATTTTGAATTCAGCTCTTTATTGTAGTAAAGCCCTTGCAAAGCTGTAAGACATTTGAGTCTCACTTCCCCTTGCTAAAAAAAATAATAAACAGGAAATAAATAGCAGTTCTCCAGTTTTCATTTTTCAACACGGGACAATATGTTAATTAGTTTTTAGAGCTCCACGTTTTTATTGTGATTTCTGTTACTGGGGCCATTTGTTAAATACGGAATTACAAGGGGAAATTAATTTCTTATAAATGAAACAAACTCCATCAAGCTGAGAAAGTTTACAGTTCCAACAGCAACACTTTCAACTCAGCCTTGAAGCAGACTGAAAACCAAGGCAATAAAGATCTGTTGTTTGAAAAATGGTTTTATTAGGTCCTACCTGGTAGAGAAATCCAACATTATGATTTTATCAGGTACACCCTTGCTGTCAGACCATTTGGATACTAAACTCTTGATATGTAAAATTGAGTTATTTCTTGCTTAAAAGTAATCATTACAATAACTGATTACTTTTAAGTGAGAAGTAACTCAATTACAAGGTGGGCTAAGAAAAACGGAAGTGTCAATTTTTGTGCCTTATTTTCTCTAGGATTCAACACCCTACCTTGTCATGCATTGTCCACCCCACATATTTTAAATAGCTGTCATTGAGAAAGGCATCACTATACATCTTCATCCAAATTCCAATTTCTTCAATACATATTGCTCTAATCTCAGCAATTGCATCCCTGGGGATAAAAAGGACAATACATAAAGAAAATGAAGAGTGTGGTGTAAAAAAAAAAAAACACCCAGAATTTAGACTGAATACACACAGCAACTGGACTCACCTGTACCTATGAACAAAAACACCCTTAAAAATCGCATTCATCATGTTTTCTATTTCATCCTGATTTTCTTGAAGCTGAAAAACATAGGAACTGCCAAATGAACGTGCTGCAGTTTTACAGTTACATGTTTAGGCAATAAAACAATACAAAATTAATAGTTATTTGAAAGGTTAGATCACAGGTACATGGCTAGCTCTGGAATTATGGGAGCTGAAGTCTACCTGTCCTTTTAAAAAGGCCATAGTTGCCCACCCGAAGAACCCATTCCTGGCTTCCATTTGACTTCCCAAGTATGCTAATTTACTTCTTTCCAAGGGTCGGGAAGAGGAAATAAAGAGTTGGAAAGAAATGTTGTGCTTTAATTGAATCTCAAGAGATTCACTCATTCCTTTTACTTGGGGTTAAGTCTTTGGGACAACAGATTTCTACATGTTTGCCTTAACAGCAAAGAGATGATAATGTGTATTTCACAGGCATCAAATGACAGCACAATTCTTTTTTCAATTGAAAAGTTCAGGAAGGTTTTTCATGAAATTTTACATCAAACTTTTTTTTTTTGGGGGGGGGGGGGAATACAAATATTCCCCATAGTTATGTAACCATTAAACTAGTGGGCAAAGGTTCTAACCTCCTTCCTTTTCTGCAGTAACAGTTCCAGTCTATCGTTAGCTCGTTTTCCAATTATTTTATTTCGTTCCGTCTCGTACTGTCGTTGTGTATTGTCCATATTAATGCTCAAATTTAATGCCACGTTCACTAATGCGGTCATTAGCTTCATAGCTGTAAAGGGCCAAGAGAGAACGAAAATCAGTCATAATGTAGAATAATATAATCAACAAGCCTGAACAATGATATTGATACAAAAAATGCCTTACTACACTAGATGCAAATGCAGGATTGTTGGGGTTTTTTTGGAGGGGGGGAAACAGCAGGAGAGAGTATTAAATTATGCTGTCTTCGAGTTTCAAAAGGAAAAATGGCATATAAATAAATTTTACTAAGGTTTTGAATGATTAATTTCAGGATTATGAATCTATTTTATACAAAGGCAATATTCATTAACTGAATGGTTCAGCTACATGTAGTGAAGAGATAGGTAAGAGACTCATCACAATGAAAACTGAGAAGGAGCACAAAATTCATGCAACACTTTTCATGTTTTATCACAGGGCAATAATTAAAATTCACATGTGCCATCTGATTTTGTTTGTTTACATTATTTACATTTTTATCTATCTGCCTACTGACTACTTAGGATCTTTTGAAAAGACACATGAAAGTGAATTTAATTATGTTGCTCACTTACAAAAGGGCTTACATAACTCTTTTTGTATAAGAAGGAACATAACAATTGTTACAGTTATTCTAGTGTGATGTGCTGAACTTTGAAAAAGGGTCTGGAAAACACCCCCAGGAAACCACCTCTCACTCATTTAATGGCTGTTTTATTATTTCTGCTCTTTGAAGATAGTTATCAAGCTGCTGCCTGAAAAACTGGATGGTTTATTCCTCCCACTCCAAAATAAATTCATATCAGACTTCCAATGGTGGTTTGATGGTTCATATTTTTCTGGAAAAATGTTTCTTTCTAGAGCAGGAAGTAGTTTCTAGTATTCTCACACAGAGGAAATCAGGGCACGCCTGAGACTAACTGTCCATTCCACAAGCCTATTATGAAGCAAATTTAAGTTGCTGAATTTGGGAAGCCTGACTTTGTAGTTCCAGAGATTAAAAGCTGGTGATGAAGGCTTCGCTTGGGCTAAAAGTCAACTATAACATCCTTGAACCACATTCTACTAAAGCAATTATTCTTCTGTCATTGTAGACTGATGGCTTTTTACCCATTGAAGGGATACTGGGGGGGGGGGGGCGGTCCTTGGTAAGTTTCACAAGGAAAAGCATTTTATTTTGTTAAATTTATATTTCAAAGAAATAGAGCAGCACCTTTCAAACACTTTGCACACCGAGAGCAGTTAGAGGAGGTGTCTTAAGCTCAGCATGTTGGCCAGTTTCTTAATTTTTAACTTTAAAACTACCTGAGTTTATCCCTGCTTACAGGAAATGGAACAAAAGGATATATGTGAAACCTAGGCCAAAAACAAATAAATAAATAAAAATCATTTCCAAGTTTCTCTTAGACTCCTAGACTTAAATCTTTTAAAATAAAAACATTTCAGAAAATTTAGAAGAAACTTAACAATTGGGATTATCTTTCAACTTTTTTTTTAATCAAGCTGATGAATGTTTTACCTGCCAGTGTGCTAGTATGTCGAAATGCCCTGACTTGAGAATCTGATAGTCCTGTAAGTAGTGAAATCACTGTATCCATCATGTACTCGTCATATATGATGCTATACTGACACTGCCGGACCAAGACTCCAATGAACTCACAAAAACTTGATTTAAATTTCTTCCACTGAGGACCAGCCATGGTGAGCGGATAATCCCCACTGTCCTAGAATATAGAATGTGTCAATTGCACAAAAAGTAATGCATTATATCTTGCTAGTTACAAGATGAAAATGTCCTGATGAACCAAGAGGGATTTTATTCATCTTCCACACAGATCAGGGTCTCACAACAGACAAGATTTGTATTTTAATCGCAATTTATGTTTCCCCAAATATTATTTTATTCTTTTGTTCACAGACCAAAGACAACCAGAAAATAATTTTTAAAAAGTTAACGTAAAAAAGGTAAATATATATAGGAAGTTAATGGTCGCTTAGCAACCGCCCCCAGGGCAATAGGGTCACATTTTGGGCGCTTGGCAAACTGCCTGCATTTGTGGCTGTTTGCAGTGTCCCTTGGTCACATAACTGTGGTTTACAATGTTTTCTGCCGGAAACCAGCATTTACAAAAAATGCCCACTGCTGACAAAGGATTTGCTTAATGACTACACTGTTTAACAACAACAGTGAACAGCTGCCGCAAAAAAAGCATAAAATTGGGTGCAATCACATGGTGACCCTTTTAATGGCCAGTGTGACTTATAACCATAATTCTGGGCTCAAATATGGTCATCAGATGCAAACTACCTGTACACAAAATTTTCCAATGATTTTTCATATACACCCTGTTAATAAATATTCTTAAAAGGGAAGTGCTAAATTGAAAAGATACTCAAGCTAGTTGAAACATTGATTTATCACTGTGGCCAATGAACTGAGATTTCTTCTGCCCTCCAGAGTTAATTCTTCACCTCCCACAAATTCCTTTTAAAAAAACGTTGCAGAAACAAACACGCAGGAACACATATATTTTCAACTGAAAGAAGTACTTCAGAAACATCTTAGTAAAAGGGATTTTAGGAACATATATGGCGATCAGTTTTTGAAAATATAAATTTAAACATGTCCATTTTACCTCATCAAATTCTTCAGTCATTTTTCGAATTATTTCCGAATTTTGCATATGGCGAAACATTTCTGCTGTTACAACCCCTGCAAATTACAGAATGGGAATACTATGAAATCTCAAACTTCAAAGTATATAAAAAAATGCTGCTTAGACAATAATGCTATCAAACAAAACGTGTCATTTTTCTGACTGAAATGTTTAAAATATACGGAGGTATACAACTGTAATCTGATAAATCTACATGTGAAAACTTTTTTAAAGTGGCATATATTTTCTTTAACAGATATCATGCATCAGCAGGCTCACAGTCTTTTAAAAGCCAGAATACAATTATAAACGTGGAGGAAACTACAACAACAACCTATATTCAAGTAGTCAAAAAAGAGAGGAATGAGAGATTATAAATGAATTGCAAAAAGTACTATCTGTGATGGGAAGTCCTAATTGTAATGGGATAGAAGGGATATGAAGATTTTTATGAAATTAATATGGAATAAAACTCACCCCCAAATAGAAATCTTACCTTTGCAACCTGAGCACTGAATAAAGAAGTTGATGAGATCAAGGAGGGCTATATCTCTATCATGTTTGTAGGATTCTATCCAATCATCCACCACAGACTAAGATAACAAACCAACATTTAAGTTAGGGATGCTTATTGTTACTATCCATATTCAAACACCTACGCAATCACCACCCCCAAATTCTTCTTTTATACCCCGAGGTTTCCACGGTTGTCCCACTTCTCCAAAACATTGTTTTCAGAAACCAAAAATGGCATATTAGTTTTTCCAAAGGAGGATGATAAACGTAAGCCAAAGTTAGTCAAAGCTTACATATCTAATCCTCATATCTGCCTATGATTGATCTGTGACCTACTTTAATTTGTAACAGGGTTAAAAGTTAAAACTGAGAGTTTCAAAATCAGAAACTAAAATAAAATGCATGTATTGGATGAAATTTCAATCTGCCCTGCAACTGTTTACAGTAGTGTAATCACAAGGTGGATCTTCTTTTCAAATCAAATCAAACAAAAAAATAATAACAAATCTTTATTATGGTCATAGACCAGCAATATCCACTTCTCTTCTAGATGGAAGCTATATTTTAATTTTTTTTTTAAAAAAAAACAGACATTTTAAAATAAGGCTGGAGCCCAAGTCTCAAACAATGGTGTGACACCCAAGTAAATATACATACAAGTACTTATCATTAAAATCTATGGGAGAGCCAAAGGTCTACACAAAAGAATGATTGCAGTAGCAATCTGTAGAAACTCTGCTGAGTTTTAAAACTCTGTTGAACAAGCAACTCCAAATCATTGTTTCGATATTTGCTAAGAAATCTGGAATTGGAAGGACATTTTAAGCTGGAATTGACCTGAATCGGAAATGGATTTCCTCCTTACTCTCAAAACAACAAAGCCTTTAATAAGTAGAGTTACCTGCATAGCACTCTTGCCCATTTTAACAACTTCAAACAACATCATGTTTTCCACACCATTCTGCTGATGATGCCCATTCATTCGATTTAGACCCCCAGCTTTTCCTCCTCCATTGCCAACTTTCGCTTTCTCTCCTGCAGCCTTTTTCCCCTTTTTGCAAGTCTGTATGAATGACAAGCCCAGGTTATTTATTCCTTAACAAAATAAAAGGGTAAAAAAATAGAACGTGCATTTTTACTTGAATAAATGAACATGCTAAGGGAGTTTTGCTTGTTTATCTTTTTGTTAACTTTTCGTTGTCACACTTGCAACGGGATGAGATCCCAAAACTTGCCCCAGTTCCTGCCCAGCTAGCAGTCTGAAAGCATGCAAAGTGCAAGCTGATTAATAGGAAGGGTGTTGAAGCAGTAGGCGTGAGCTTAAATGGACTCCAGAAAACGGTAGAGGACAGGAAGGCCTGGAGATCAACCCTGACTGCTCTTTAGAAGGCCAGATCCTGAAGTTGAAACTCAAGTACTTTGGCCACCTAATGAGAAGGAAGGACTCACTGGAGAAGAGCCTAATGCTGGGAAAGATGGAAGGCAAGAGAAGAAGGGGACGACAGAGAATGAGGTGGATGGATGGAGTCACTGAAGCAGGAGGCATGAGCTTAAATGGACTCCAGAAGATGGTAGAGGACAGGAAGACCTGGAGGAACGTTGTCCATGGGGTCGCGATGGGTCAGACACGACTTCGCAACTAACAACAACAACATGCTGGCCCTATGACCACAGAAATGGTCTTTGGATACCACTGGCTTCCTCAGCCAAGAAATGATGATGAGCACCGTGCCTTAGAGTCAGACACAACTGATAGGGAAACCTTTACCTTTTTTTACCATAGGTCTGGCAACCCACTGAAATGAAAATTTTATAAACACAATAAATGTAAGGGGAGAACATGGATCCATGAGTTGCCAGCGTTTTTAGTCAAGTTTTTGGAAACCCCGTGGAACAGTTTCCAATGTGTAAAAGGGTTTTTATGACATCCACCCTTACTGCACCAAATCCACTTGCATCATATCACAGAAGCACTGTAGTTTCAGATAACAAAATCAGTTAAATTTTATTTATAAAAGACTTCACTGATACTCTTACAGGCTCCATACACAGACTGAGAATACGAGATATACACACCTTTCCTTTTCCTGGTTTCTGATTTTTTCCTTCTATATCTTCAAAGTCAGTATCTGAAGAAAAATGTGTTTCAGACTCCCTGGAAAGACATATTTTACATATTTATTCCACTTAAAATGTTTTTATCATTGCTTTGATGTAATATAATATACTCCAGACATGCTACATTCACTTAAATGAGTTTTTCAATACTGCATGCCTAGGAAAGTATAGGAATTTTCTAAAAATATTCAGTCACGGCTCATGTGAAATGAGGAAATTCAACTTAGCAAGTTGCCAAAATTTCATTAGTAAATAAAGGAATTATAGGAGATAATTTAAACCACAAACTAAAGAAACAATGTTTTTCCTTACATCTACTCTTTACAAAGAAAAGCAAAATGAAAATATTTTATGACTGTTATTTGATGTCAATAATTTCAAGATACTTACTGAATTAGAGCAAAATTAGTTGTTGGTTCTTGAGCTGCTATCATTTCTTTATCATCTTCTGGGGTACTATTGTATTAGAAATACATTCAAAAAATAATTGTTGATAATAGTTGTACTTGCTTGTCACTTTCTTCTATTATTGTAGCAGTAGTCTATACCTGTCAAAAACAAAGTAACAATTAATGGAAGTTGTCCAATTTCCTGTGATTTGTTGCTTTGTTAATAATGCAACAATGTTTATCCCTAACTTTTTTTTAAAAAAAAAAAAACTTTCTCTGGGTTTAATGGCCATCCCAACTGTCTGAGTTTTCTATCTAAAGAAATACTCCAAAATTTTGAAATATGTCACGGGTACATTACTAGAAAAGTACGTCAATCACTACTTAATTATTTTAGCCACCCTTTTTGGAATCTTTTCTGAAGCTGCATGGTAATTGTTGAAGGCTGGGTGACCCACAATTGTAAATACAGAATTCCAGAGGCAGTCACTTTGCACATGTACATAAAAGCATCACAATACCGTTTCATTATACAAGTATTTCTGACCAAAATAATGCAAGTGGTTTTATTTCCTTTAAAAACAATGTTTCTATCTTCATTTCCCCCCTACCTCTCAGATAGCAAGCTGTCGTCACCACCATCTTCAGTAGCCTTCAGAGTGTTTAATTTGTGCAAAACTGAATCACATACACTTAAGGCTGTGATACTATCACGTGACCATGAGACACTGCAACATCACAACTAGTGCTCATTCAGCCTTGTTGTAAGTTAATGGCCGTGGAATGCGTGGTCGTTAAATGAGGACCACCTGTACCAGGACACGTAACAATTTCCCCTTCACTGGTAATAGAGGTGCTGTAATTTGAATACCTGGACTAAGCAGGTTACAGTTGTTGACCTAAATGGTCCCTTCCAATTTTATAATAATGTGAGGACACTATTGAGGAACATGTATTTCTCAGGAGGAAACACAGAAAATCAAATAGATTGCCAAGAAATGCATCAAAGATTATGCCCTGTCTGCAATGATTCAACATGCAAAAGCTGTCCTGAATCAAATCTCAATATGTCAGACAGGTTTTAAAAGTTCCGATTTCCACGTAAAATATTTTTCCTCTGTCCCAGATAAAGATGACCTTCAAATTGCATAAACCTCTGAATGACTCTTAAACTCCCATATACCTATCTTTAAATATACATGATCAACTTTAATTCCAATCAAGGGAAACTAAAAAAACTAGATTTTTCATTTTTTTGGCTAAAGTTCGAGAATTGCTTGGAGGTGAGACAAGCTGCATTTCAAACTGCCACTAAGGGATGCTCAAACATAATCGGCTTATTTTTTTAAAAAAGAAAATGTATCATGCTGAAAGATCACTTGGTGGAGCTGTAATCCAAAACTCAGCGAGACAGGTCACCCAGAGGTTGATCAAGCCACTTCTTGACAGGAAATACCGCCAAGCCAACAGAGAACTACATTATAGTAGACGTGTGTTTGGCAATTGTCTAAATAACATTTCTCAAATACGCAATGCCTTAACTGAACCGACTGGAATTTTTAGTAACGTACCTATCTATTCCTGCCCAAAAAAGCCACTTTAAAAAAAAAAGTGGGGATGAGAGGATTATTTGCTTGGGACAAAGCAAATAATTTTTGCATATAAAAAAAAAATTAAAAAGAATCAATAGTTTGCATTTGTATATTGGTGAAGCCAATTCATTTATCTAAATCTTCAATGTAGTTAATTTTTTAAAAAAAAAATAAGAGAATGGAAATACGTCATTAAGTTTGCAAGGCACTGTTCCACTTTTCTCAATTTTATTGAGAGTTTCAAACGATCTCTCTCAAAATTGAAAACATTTTAAATATTTGTGTTTTAATAATACAAACAGTATATTTGCATGAACTGAACACTGAGACAATTAAAACTCTTCGAATAATTCAAGACCATCACTGGGAATAGGGATGCTTGATGTGGCTTCACTGCATGTTGCTAAACTCCAAGTCCAGGGAGCATGGCCAGTGAGGGAATACACGGAACTGTGTTTATTATGGCTTAATCACACACAGTGGTCAGAATATTTTATGACTATAACTTATCACTTCTTTCAGCTGTAGGTGTACAACTACTGAAGAAAACTGCTTTTTTTCACTAATTGCCTGTTTATGTACATTGCTCAGGACATCTCAGTTCACCTCAATCCCCAGGCTATGGACTGGCAACCGGGACCACACAGAAACGGGACCACACAAACAACCAAGCCCCACACCTGGACTGCTGAAAAATTTCTCTCCACGGAACTGGTCCCTGGTGCCCAAAAGGTTGGGGGGGGGGTGTTGCTGCACTAAGGATATCCCTGTGCTCCAAGGTGGATAATTACCAGAAGGATTTCACGAATGTACACATATAGCTCTGTCATCTACTGACTAAATCAAAGCTCATCACACAATATTCTCACAAACTGCTTTTCTTATCCAAACTATTCATGATTAACCTTAAGTAGCTTACAAGATAAGGACTGAATCTTCCTTTCTGATGTTCACTTGCGTGGAATTCCACTTACATTCCGCCTGAAACTTGTGGTCATGTATAGCAAGGGCGCTATTAAAAACAAGGATGTGTTGTGGGTTAGCTATGGATAACAGGGATACACTAATAATACTACACGATGATTAATGTTGTCGACAATCAAAGGGCGGAAGTTCACGTGGGAGTTATTTACACAAAGTAGCTGATTGGGATGCTCCATGCTTTACTCACAAGGCAGCTTACAGTAGTTCTGCCCTCCCTTCTACTACCGTGGGGAGGAGACAGTTAACAAGATTCAATTTCCATTTTATCCAATTATCTACGAGACTCCTTAGCATGATCTCACCATGTTGAAGAGGAAAGAATCCTAAACAAGTCAGAACCCAAGCAGGGTTTTATTTTTTTTAATTTTTTTTACAACTGATGTTTGTCTCAGGATCCAAAGGTAATAGGATTTTGAAGAAGCAGGCTATAAGTTAACAAAGCTAAGTTAAGGCAAGTTTTTGAAACTCTACCATTTTATTGTGAACGGTTATCTAGTTTCAGACCATAATCATACAACTGTGAATAAAAGTTAACTGAAAAGTATTTGGGGATTGTAATTGTCACGTCTTGCTTCACATTTTATATTAACTGAAAAGTGCGAAGGACAGTTCATATATAAGTAAAATACTAATTTTATTTCATAATCAGGTTTTGGAAAAATCGGGGAAATTATACGTTGCTTTATACAGACAACACAGAGACCAGATTTCACAATCATGTCTTAAACAATTGCTGAGATACACAGATTACATAGTGCAAATGAATAGCCTTTCTTTGAATCTACAAAATACACATTTTGTAAGCACATTCCCCAGCAACATAACATAATTGATGTGCCTTTCTTCTGTGATTGTGCAGATTCTCTCACTTTGATACTCTAAAACCACAACCCCTATTTCTAGAAAGTATTCTTCCCAGGCTGGAAAAGGTTACCATAATGCCACCATTACTAAGAAGGGTGTCCTTTGGAATGTGTACTTATGAGCAAATGAGAAGGCCAAAGGAAAGCAAGCGGGTTTGAGAAAATAATTCTCTTTGATTAGAGAAGTTTCCTCTTAGATGTTTAATAGGTCTGTTATCTCACGAAGAGGAACGAAAAATAAATACGCAAGTCAATAAATGTCAAGTGATTTTATAGCAAATTAATTGCAACTAGTCTTGTTGCTAATTTCTGGAAGAAAACCAGTCATAACTTGAATCCACTCTTGAGAGTGACAAAACAGCCCAAATATTCCAAAAGGCTGTCAACACTGTTTTGTTTAGATAGTCTTCTCAGTTATAATCTGTGAAGTTTGTTTTTTATAGTGATACTAAGCAGCCATTTAATTTTTTATAGTTTTTTGATGCTTTGAATTATGATTTGTGGTGACTGTTATGTGTGTGTATATATAAACATACACATACATACATGCATGTATGCATGTGTGTATGTTTGTGTATATACAAACACATGTGGTATATAAAATTACTTCTCATAAATAGGTGGTATGTAAATAAATGTAATAAATAATAAATACTTGTCTGGAGAAAAAGAATGCCAATATCTGAGCAGACTGTGTTTTTACTACCAAGTAAAGTGATCAAATGTTTTATAGATTTAAATCCTACGCTTACTTATTTTTGTCTAAGATTGCACTGCAATTTAAATTAATGTTCCTTAGGTTTATAGAATAGACTAGAATAAAAGAGTTGGAAGGGACCTTGGAGGTCTTCTAGTCCATCCCACTTCTCAAGCAGGAAACCCTACAACATTTCAGACAAATGGTTGTCCAATCTCTTTTTAAAAACTTCCAGGGTTGGAGCATTCACAACTTCTGGAGGCAAGTTGTTCCACGGATCAATTGTTTTAACTGTCAGGAATGTGAAATTTATTATGTGGAATTTATTAACCATATGCACATCACCGAATACTAAAAAATTACACACTAAGATTAATGAGGGACATGATTTATCTGCTCAACAGATTTTCAATTTTCCAGGACAAAATTTAGGCTGACAAATCCATACTGCTCATTGTGTGATTGTTTAAAAATGGTATTATCTTGATTACTTTCCATTTTTGAAAGATTTTCTTGAACAGTTGCTTGTTTGATTATAAAGATAACATTTCACATTTGGACTTGGATCCAAGACAGGCAAGTTCAAGATTCTTTTTAATTACACGCTCACTAAATGTCTACACCACTGTGGGTGGATGACTAGGGGATAAAAATGTCTTGTTCTTATAACTGCACTAACCCAGAAGTATTGGAATGCCGTGAATTTTATATAGTACCCCTACATTCCAGGGAGAAAAGGCAACATTTTAGTGCGAGTGAAAATGAAATTTAGCACTATGTATATTTTAATTATTAAGTTGAATCATACAAAGGTAATGATTAACACTTAATGATCAAACAGGATTTAAAACAAAATTGTATGGACATTCATTTTACGTTAATTCTGAAACTCATCAAAACAGCCAATCTTTCCACTCTAATATCTGAATTTCATAATCAACTTAATTTCAATTAAATATCTATAATTTCAACATCCATTGATCTTATCGACAATTATCTACTGGTCTTTTGTACACCGCCTTCCCAAACTTTCTGTTTAGCAAAAGTTGCACATATTGCAAGAAATTTAGAAGTGATTTACTACAAGACAGTATTCTCCCTGGTACACATTTAGGCAGCCCAATTTTTTTCAGGCTTCCACAGAAGCCGAAAAAGATGTATGTTTCTTTAAAGAAATCCGACCATTAAAGTTACTGCAACTTTTAAAGCAATACCATTGCTTTTTCAGATGGCCGAACCTGAAAAATGTTGGGTTTATCAGCAGAGGAAACCCAAAACCCCTCCTTTCAAATCATGCACAGCAAGCACTATTAGCAACACTGGCACCCAAAACAAAAGGACAAATCTCTTCTTTTCAGTAAAGACTGAGCACAAAGAAACAAACAGAATCAAGGAAGGATTATTTTGAGTTCCTCCTACTATCCCCTTCCCCAAGACTAAGTTGTTTCTCCTCCCTTAATGGCTCCTGCATCCCTTCATCAAGGTATTTCTATATTTCTTGTACATACTTAGCAATAGCGCTTAGACTTATATACCACTTCACAATGTTTTACAGTCCTCTCTAAGCCTCTTGCCTTCAACAATCTGGGTCCTCATTTTACAGACCTCACAGACTCCAGTCTGTGGGCAGAATTAGCCTGCAATACTGCACTCTAACCATTGCACCAGCATGGCTCATACAGGAATAGAACCATCACATTATTCTACCCTTTAGTAATACTGTAAGTAAAAGTTGATATGGTAGGAGAATCACCATTATATCAGAACCCAAGATTCCACTTCCGTCTTGTTATGTATCAGGATCAAGCCCAGACTGGCTCCAAATTTGTTATAATCATGACAATGTTCTGTGGTTGTAATAGACAATGATTAGCTTGCTTTTCTTGATTCATTTCAACTTTTATGGACAGGTTTGTTCTTTGAATCAGGCCCTCCAAATATTTTGAACTGCAATTGTTCCCAGCCAAGACAGAGAATGCCCAACGGCAATTCGAACAGTAATCCAAAATGTTAGAAGGCCATCAAGCTATCTATCCCTATTCTAACTGGAGCATATGCAAGTAGAGAAAGCATAGGATGGCACCATCATTTTTAAAGCAAGTCAGACCACACCTTCATCTAATTCAGTAATGTCAACTTTGGCTACAGCTTTCTTGACTTTGAAACAGGAGTCTTTGTGGTGATGTTTATAACTGAACCCTGGAATATCAGCCTGCAAAGTACATGTCCTGTCACTGTTTCTGATAAATGGATGCATAAAGCCAACTTATATAGAATGAAACCACCGACCCATGTTATTTTTCACCAGAAATGGATTTCTAGAATAATTAATGCCTGTTTTTCAATAGTTTACCTACAGCTGTCAAGGGCTGATCTTAGAAACATTTGTCCAAAGCATTTCTGCTGAATTATGGCCCTGCCTCATGTTGCCACCTACGAGTTTCTGCCTCATGCAGTCTTGCCTTACTCCATGGACCATTAATAAGCAATTAATTGCTTCTAGCCACGGCAGTTGTATACTGTTGAACTAAATAGGTGTTTGGATTCTATAACACTGTTCTCTGAAGAATTAAGGACATGAAACATAATTTCATTGAATGCTGAAAAAAGAATGCTAGGCTTTATTTGAGACATGTTTAAATGTAGATAATTCTTTTCAAATCACTTATCTTAAAGCTAACCTTTCAAAGTGAAGACTGTAGTTTTCAATTCATTAGAGCAATTCTCACAAAAACATTAGTGGAGATCTGCATTTTTAACATGTTACCAGTGGTTAAACCTAGTTGTTTTATCAATAGTCTTGCTTCATTCCCCCCAAACATTGGTATTCCCTATTACATGATTTCAGTTAGCAATATAATGCCTGCTTGTGCGGAAAATGCAATATGTCATGTCAATTAAACGAGTGCACAAAAATGCATCTTCCAGTGATTATGATTTTAAAAAGAAATGGCACTGTCTTTAGCTCCATGATATTAGTGTACTTCTGGGAACATTAACTTTCATATATATGTACAATTAGTAAAGCTATACAATTACTCTCAGTATATATATATATATATATATATATATATATATATATATATATATATATATATATATTAGTTACTTTATTTTGAAGTTTCCCAAACAGAGGAGCTTTGTATTTTATACAGAGTTCTCCAAACCAGAAATATTAATTCAAACCTTGGGCAAAATTACATACACAGGATAAACTAAACTTGTAAAATCAAAATATAAGGTTTTCCACGTATTCAGGTTGGAGTATTATTGATAATAATTTCCCAGATATAGAAAGCTTATTCCAAACTGTAACAATTCCATTTATAATTTCCTCAAATCACTTATAGAAAAAGCAGCAAAAATCAAAAGTGTTCGTGTTTATAGAAACCAAAGAAAATCGATACTTATAAGTCAATGCTAAACTACATAATCATAGTGACCTGAGTGCCCACCTGTAAGGAATGCAAAGATACACAAGAGGACTTAAATATACATGGATAATTTCTTCAGTATATATACAATATGCATGTAAACTAAAAGAAATAGATTAAAAAAGAATCCAAAATTACTAGGTTAACTGCAGATGGTTTTAAGCAGGGGTTTTCAAACTTGGTCCTTTTATGACTTGTGGACTTCAACTCCCAGAATTCCTCAGCCAGGCACACTGGCTAAGGAATTCTGGGAGTTGAAGTCCAAAAGTCATAAAAGGGCCAAGTTTGAAGACCCCTGGTTTTAAGACTCACAAGGGAAAGGGGAGGAGAACACAGTGGTGTTTAATCACAGATATAGTCAAGATATTCTATTTCTTCAGTCTTCTAAGGCCAAGTCTCATTCTCATCTCTACCAAACAATATATAACTATCAATTCAGCTTTTCTGAGAGCAGAACATTAAGTCAAAGATGGACTAAAATCCTGCTGAGCCCAAAGACATTATCAGAGTTAAGTTTGGGGAAAGGAGACTGCAAATACGGATTAGCCAAATCAATAATTCACCAATCTAGCTGTCCCACCTAACCTTCTTCCAAGGGATCTGAAAAGCAGGTGCTATACAGTTTAAGATTCCATGCTACATAAAGCCTTCAATAGGAAGACTATAAGTTTTGGCCACAATAAGACCACGGGAAATACATTTATATCCTATACTATACTGTTCCCAATACCCTGAGTGCTAAATATTTGAAGATGGGCTGCTGCTAATACCATTTTACTTTACAAAAGATGAAACAAGGTTTCCATTACATACAAAAAGATACCACCTGACATAAATATCACTATCCTGCTCTAAACAGGCAATCTATTATGCTTTGTTTCATTAGTCGTGCACAAATAATTGTTTACACAAGCCTGAAATGTTAGGAGTTTACCATTTTTTTAAAAAAAAAAGCAAGACACTTGCAAGACTCCTTAAGCATAAAGAAGAAGCAACCGTGCCTACATCAAGAGATAGAATTGGTTTCGGACTAGGATAACTGCAGAATATATATATATAAAAAAACAGGTTCTTTGACTCGACATTCAGCTAGGGAAACCTTTGGCCCTTGCGGATTGGCATACAGCAATATAAACACAACAAATGGGAAAACTTTCCAAATTATGGAAGCAGCAGCAAAGTGAACCAAACACACTCCCATTAAAGCTGACAAGTGGTCTATATGAGTTGGGATGTAACAGAGGGAATCAGCAGAGTGGTCTCTTACCCAAATTTCCATACAATAAAAAGTCAAGAAGTGATTAGATAACCAGTCATGTAACCAGGAAACTAACCAGTGTTGATTCAAGAACTTTAAGGTAAGAGAGAACTAAGTATGGTTTATCTATATTTTATTTTAATTTTTATGTAAAATTGTCCTTTTTATTAGTGTTTGATATAAAATACAAAAACAAATAATAGGAGAAAAAAGGGGCAAAGGGGAAAAAGAAAAGGCGTTGAATACTGACTCCCTTTGGTGCAGTAGAATAAGATAGTAACATCAAACCTCAACTTCTTACTTTCACATAAAAGTATGGCTTATCAATTCTTCTCCAACTAACAATGTTCTACCTACCAACTACTTCCCTGAAAAAGAAATTAAACTAGGGATTTCTAGCAAGGGCAAATACTGTCTATAAATCTACCAAAGAACTCTTTACAGGCCTGAAGTGCTGCCAAGAAGGGTAAGGTCATAATAAAATTGTTCAAGCAAGTCTAAGTGAACATAATAAATCAAAGCAAAATAAACTATTTGGGTATGGATAAAAAAAAAAATCCAACCCTTGACTCAAATAATAATCCTAAGCTTCAGTAACCCATTCCTGTAAGCAAACTAGAATTTTTTTTAAAGATTATAAAATATATAAACATGTTTATCAAACTGTGATAAATGTGTGAATACTTAAATTGATGGAGCTGATTAACAGTATAACAGAGGGCCTATTTCTGTTCAAGTCTGTAGTTAAATGGCTGAGTAGCTACATCACTTTAGAAAGTGACCCAATCCTAATATGGTGAAACGATATGGCATAATAAATTTATAACCAGGAGGATCTGACTTGAAACTATGATAGAACTTACAAATATATTAAGTGCTTATCTGTTCAATGAATAATGGGAATGCTTTTTTACGCAGAACGTTATGAATTTGAGGAATGAAATATGCTTTCTAAAAAAAATGAACAATAGATTCAGAAAATGTGAAGTAAATGTGCTTAGTAAAGAGCAACTGTCAAATATACATTATTTATTCTAGGGTAATATATCTCACATGCATATGAAATACTTATCATCTGCAAACAGTCCTTATTCTGGAGACTACTAAATTGGCACTTTAGTTTTTTAAAAAAACCAGTGAATCAGGAACCTATTCACTTGCCTGTATAACAACTGTTAATGGGGTCAAATCTTACTTTCCAAAGATAAATTATTTAAATGATAATTCACAAACTAAGGTAATTTAAATGACCTAGAATACATGAGTTTCAATAATAGCAAGATATATAAAATTATAAGATAGGAAAATTGTCTGGGGAAATACAAAAACAAAAAGATCCCAGCAGTTTTAAGATTTTTGGTCTCTCAGCACACAAAGAATCATGTCAGGTATGGGTTTGAATGGGCAAGAACTAACGGTACAATATTAAAACAAGAGAAAATCCATTTTTTCACACTGTTAATGTTAGAGCTCTCTTTGAAACATGAAATTACGCATACTGTACACTGAACTTAACAACTTGTACATAAAACCAATAACATTTTTGGGAGGGGGGTATTTATTTATGAGTTGCAAATGACTGCAGGTTCAAATAAATTGAAAGACTGTGAGAATATCACTCCCACACTTCCAGAAAGATATCCACAACACAGAATTCTCGAAAAGAAAAATATTTTCTCAGAACCTGCATATTCCAAGATTATATCCATATGCCAAAGGAAAATAAACTGACAGCTGATAAAAATATTGCTTATTTTCTAATGAGTAAAATTATCTAAATCCTTAAAACAATCCTACATTCAAGCCATTACATATTTATATTTTTCACAACCTATTTCACCAAATCTGAATCATTCTGCTAAAATGTAAATGATTCAATAGCTCATGTTGTCATTTTGTTACCAGACTATGTAGATCTGTGTTCCCAACCTTGTCACCTGAGATTTTGGAATAAAGACTGGGATAGCCTTCCTGTAGGTGTTTGGAAGAGTACACTTTATTTTTTTTTTAAAAAAAGTAGTAAAAGAAAAGAGTATAAAACCAGTTCTATTAACTAGCACAGTAATTCTCACACTTGAAAAACAAAATTCCAATCACACCTACATCAGCATGTGATTCTGAAATGAATTTACATTGGAAAAATTCAACTAAATTATGATTTCAGTCATTATCTCAAAACTACCAGATATATTGGGATATGCAAAGTAACACAGATTCACTAGGGTAACTGAAATTTAACCTCCCATATTTTTCAAGAAATAATTAACTGGCTGTGTTTCTTTATTGGAGAAAACAACACAACTTCCAAATCATAACTGATTTCCATGTCTTGTTAAAAAAAATGGACAGCAACAAGTGGTGTTACAGTTGTCATATGTTTTGGGGACCAGTTAAAAGACTGTACTTGGGATTTTTTACAGCAATGCTCTAAGTTAAAGTGTATTTAACCACTAAGGATATTCACCCAAACTTTCACAAGAGTGTCTTCTTCTAGTATCCCTGAAAAGGGATGTTTTGGAGAGAGAAAAGTGCATAATTGGATGTTTTAATCCTAACTGATGATTTGGAGGCTAGGAAAAACTAGGCCTGCTACCACTTCTGCCAATTCAGTCTACTGCCACCTTTAATGCCACTTTGGTATGGTGGCTCAAATCCCACCTAATCCACTGCTGTAATAAATGGTAGGATCTTGATGCTTCAGCCATCAGCCATTTTTCTTGCTCACCAAATCGAAATACTTTCCCAGAAGTTTGCATATATTCCAAAATTAACAGATGTTTTATAAGCTTTCAATATTCTTGTTCCATAATGGAAAACGAAGCCTTGCTCTTGAGGGATAGCCAGCCTTTTCTTTACAATGTAATTGTTAATTTTAGAAAAAAAGGAACCAAGACATTTGGAGGATGGCCAAAAAAAAAAAAAAAGGAAAAAAAGAGCCAGGCACAGCCTAAATTGAAAAGCAAGGGCATACTTGAGCCCAGACCCAGCATCCTCAGTAAATGTTCTGCCCTAAAAGCCTCAGGATGAACTTTATGGGGTGCCCTCCATAAGGCAACAGCTTCTTACACCAAGCGTCCCCAAGAATGACACCTTAACATCTGCTCGCTTGCCAATAACCCGAAAGTTTTTGCAACAAGAGAGCTTCCAAGCTCAGCTTCAAAGGAGGGCCGACCGGTGCGACTCCTGGGGCCCCCTCCTCAAGTGCACTCCCACCCCGCTCTCCCCTTCCCTATAAACCGAGAGGC